GGGCGCAGCCGCCCCACCCAGGATGGCCGGCCGGGGCAGAAAGGGAGCAGTCTGGCTGCGGGGCGGGAGGGCGCCGCGCGGACGGCAGCGAGCACAGCCTCGAGGGGGCCGGGTGGGAGTGGGAGACGGCAGCCGCGCCGGGCTCAGCTCCCGGGCGGGGAGGGGACGGGGCAGACCGGTGGTCACCCGAAAGCCAGCAGCCCCGAATCCAGGAGACCCTCCCTCCGCGCCAGAAACCGGCAGCTCGCAATGCAGGCGGTGATGTGGGCATCCCCTCCCCGCCCGCCGGGATCCCGCGCCCCCAGCCCCCCGAGTGCGCGCGGGACCCCTGCGCCACGTTCTGCGTTCTTCTCCTTCCTTTTCACTCATCTCTCTCTCTCTGTCTAGCTCTCTCTCCTCTTCCTTCTTTTGTTCTTTCTTTTTTTTTTCTCTAATAATCAAAGTGAAGGGAGAGTTCCTCTGTCTTTAGAGCACACTCAGCCACCCCATACCATCAGCGCCTCTCTTGGTCTCTGCAGGGCTGGAGGGGGTGCGAGTCCCCCAACACGCCCTCCTCCAGCCGAGGATGAAGACCAGCCTTGGGAGGAACTGCTGGTGGAGGTTGCAGTATGCTCATGCCCACCACCGCACCCACCACGGAAATACACCCGCTACCTTCTCCCACTGATTGTGGACACCTGTAGTTCCACAACCAAAGAGTGATCCTTTTGGCTTAGAATTTTGTCTTCTGTTTAAATGCATCTAAATACCCCATGGAACGGTAACACTTGAAACCTTTGCCATTGCCCATGGTTTGAATCGTTCAAATCTCTTCTGGAAAGAACTATTGGGGATGGAGGAGGGTGGGGAAGCGAACCATGATGTGAAGAGGAAACAGCCTCAGGGGTCTGAGAGGGGGTGCAGAGGGATTCAGTGAAAGCAAAACTTGGGGACTAGTGACAAACTCCCTGCTCCACAAGTTGGCCTGAGACTCTTCTGCCTGAACCCTCTCTGTTGCTGCACTGGGACTCAGGTATAGGGCTAGATAAGTCACACTTTTTTTTTTAATTTTCACCATAAAAAAATGAAGGGGTATTAACAGGGGCTGGGAAGATATTCACATAACACTTTATTTGGTAGGATCGATTTGCAAATGCAAATCCAGGTACTCATAGGGGAAAGCCGGCTACCTGGGCTCCAGCGCTCCTATAAGGTAGCTGCCCTGCCCGCAAAGGGATCTAGACACGCCTCCCTGGAGATGAGGAGAGAGAAAAGTTCCCTTCCCCTTCTATACTGCCAGCGTTAATCCACAAAATGCTGGAGGCAAACCTTCACATGCCGAAACTGTATACACATCGAGAGCCGGAGCAGCCAGGCTTGAACTGTGAGCGCACACACATGCAGACATGCGCACGCCACACACAGCAGTGCCAAAAAAATTATATAACATTGATTGGCAAGTGACAGAGAACTGTTGGGGTGGGAAAAAAGAGGTGGAGCCAGATTTAAGCACAGATAACTACCGGCAGAAAGGAAGCTGGAACACTGCCACCAAATCCAGAGGCATGAAAGTCCAGGGTGTGTTCTTGTGACATTCATCACTATTTATTTTGATGAATAAGCGGTATGATTAATAGAGACGTTGAATTGTAGTACTTAAGGAAAACTCAAGTTCCACTGTCCAGCCGTCTCCCAGAACAGATAGGGAAATGAGAGCCGGAGATGGGAGATCTGCACAAACTAGCTACAAGTGACCAGGGGCTAGGACCCAGGTCTTCCAATTCAAATCCATCTCCTTTACACTAGACTGTCCTAAGGAAACTGAAGTTCCACTTATACAATTTTTTTAAAGCAACAACATTTATTATTTCACAGTTCTCGGGTTCAGGAATCTTAGCTCAGTGTCTCTCACAAGACTGCCATGAAGGTTTTGGCTAAGGCTGTGGTCTTAGCTGAAGGCTTGACTGGGGAATGATCTGCTTGCAAGCTTATACTTGTAGTCATTCCACTCATAGAATTTTAAAGCTAGAAGAAACCAGGAAACATAAGAGCAAACAAAGAAATATAAATAACTGTGTTAGTCAGGGTTCTCTAGAGAAATAAAACCAACAGGATATGTATATGTACATAGAGAGAGACTTAAGGAATCAGCCCAGATGACTATGGAGCTGCAAGTCCAAAATCTACAGGGTAGGGCAGCAGGCTGGAGACTCAGGGAAGAGTTGCAGTCCACGTTCAAAGGCAGTCTGCTGGCAGAATTCCTTCTTGTTTGGAGGAGGTCAGTCTTTATTTTAGTAAGGCCTTCAACTGATTGGATGAGGCCCACCTACATTATGGAGGGTAATATGCTTTACTCAGTGTCCACTGATTTAAATGTTAATCTCATCTGAAAAACACCTTCACAGAAACTTTCAGAATAATGTTTGGCCAAATATCTGGACACCATGGCCCAGCCAACTGGACACATAAAATTAACCATCACAGTAACTAAAACAAATGTACATATATGTAGAAGACAGGCGTAGTATACTTACATGTGCTATTGTATGTTAAATGTTCATAAATTTATCTACTGATATTTCCATACAATTAAAATAATCATAGCTAAAATATTTCAAGAGGCCAGTGCCTGTCATTGGTCAGCACATTAGTAAAATCTGTGTATTTTGGGACTTGTCCTCAAACTAAGGATTTCTTCTTTTTCCTTTGAAGAGCGTGTGAGGGAAGTGAGTGTGTGGAGGAAAGTACGTGGTCTTTTCCTGTAACAACCTGAGTTCAAAACTTGTTCCTCTCATTTACCGGCACTATGAACTCTAGCAGTTCACTGCGTAAGCTAAGTAAGCCTGATGTGTAATAATACTTATAATGTTTAACTCATAGGCCCATCAGGCGGGTTCAATGGTTCATCATACAGAGCACCCAGAGTATTTCCTGGAATTTGGTTGCCTCTGCCTGCCCCATGTATCATCCTAAAACTGAAAGTGCCAGGACCACATTCCTCTGCATACGGGAATCCTCTGACAACATTCCAGACAGAATGAATATTGAACATCTGTTTGAATCCTGAGCCTTGACGAACACTCGACTATGAGAAACTTCCTCTTTCTGTTGATTGAATCAAACATTCATGCCATCAACTTCCATTCAGAACAAGGACATTCTATCTTCCACAAAAAGCCTTTCAAATATCTGGAGACAGCTATCATCTCTCTCTTCAGCCTTTCCTGGTTCAGTCTCATAGCCCAAGTTATTTTAACCATTTGGTGCCTGGCTCCTCATTACACATGTGACTGCTTCCCTATCAACGTGTGTCTCAGTAACAGCCCTCTTGACAAGTACTCAGTGGATTTCACACATCGTCCCAGGTAACAGTGGGACCCTTATCTTTCCTGAACTGGATATTGCTCTTATGCAAATAAAAGTTAATATTGACCTTTTGAATAGCCACATAAAATATTTATAGTAGGAATAGGAGTCGCTTTTATTATATTGATCTTCTCCTATGTGCTAGGGAGTATATAAATTTTATTCTACAGATTAAGTTGTTCAAGACGTGTATCTTAATTTGTAAATAATTCAACTCAATTTCTGTTTTAATCTCTCATTCTGCATTAATCAAATCAATTCGTCTCCTTTCACCAGGCTTGTTGCTTCAGTGGAGAGGGTAGAAGAAACATGGTCCCTTACTTATGGGTGTCAACCGATATTGGTGACTGGTCCAGACAGATTGTCAGTCTTGTCAGTGAGGGTCCTCCAGGTTCATGGCTCTCTCTTGACTCCCTAATGGGCCGCCACTGTCTATCAGCCTCATCCCTCCAAGCAGCTCTTCTCTCTCTAGGGTCTTGACTCCTCTCTGGGTCTCCATCTAGAGGCAGCGTGTAGAAAACCTCTCAGCTCCCTGCTCTTAACAACCTGCCATCTCTCCCCCTTCCCTTTCTAACCTGTGAGAGGGGCAATAGCTTCTCTTTCTCTGCTGCGTCTCAATATTTTATCTGTACTTCAACTCCCCTCAGTTCTCTTGGTGCTTAAGGTTATGAAAAACAAATCCAGACATTCTGAATGCTTTCTGGTTTCTCCTTGCCCCGTCGTTTCCAGAAGCTGTGAGCAGACACCAGCTAGAAGCTTGAATAGGGAGAAGGAGAAAGGGAAATAAATGGAAAAAGGAAAACAAAAAGTTCATCTCACAAAAATATCATGCCTCCACAAATTCAATTTTTTTGCAAATGATTATTATTCCTATTTTAAACATAGGAAATTGATGTCCAAAATGGTTAAGCAACTGGCCCAAGATCATGCAACAAGCAAGGGGGAGCAGAGCTCACATCAAGGCCTGCTGAGTGGCTTGCAATATTTTGCTTTTCCCTCGTGGCCTCTTCTTGCTGTTGGCCCCAAGTCTTTTCACATGAGCTGTCACCAAGTCAGAAAGCCCATCCTGCCCTAATGCAATGATCTGAATCCATGGTTAGGGGGCTGAGTACATTTTATTTTGTTGCATTCAATCCAGTGTATCAGTTTGTAGAAATCAATTTGAAATTTGATTTCTTCATTAATCTTGTTAACAATCTCTTCCAAGTTTTTACCACATGCAGATTTAATAATACTGTTTCCTACATTTGGAATATATAAATGATAATACGGACCCAAGCAAAGCCCCTGGGGAATTCCATGAGGGACCT